CTTCCCCTTCCCCTCCCCTCCCCTCCCCTGTTGCCCATCAACCTCAGCCTCCCAGGTTCAAGCAATTCTCCTGCCTCAGCCTCCCAAGTAGCTGGGATTACAGGCATGTGCCACCATGTCTGGCTAAGTTTCTGTATTTTTTTGTAGAGATGGGGTTTCGCCATGTTGATCAGGGTACACTTGAACTCCTGACCTCAGGTGTTCCACCCACCTTGGCTTCCCAAACTGTTGTGATTACAGGCGTGAGCCGCTGCACCCGGCCAATAATGCCTTTCTTATTAAAAGATACTTTGAAGAGGGTGCTTTAATCTTTGTCGCTATGATACATATCAAGAAAGTGAGATTCGGGGGGTTAAATAACTCATCCAAGAATATCCAGCTAGCAAGTGGCAGAACCAGGGTTAGGACCCAGATCTGTCTGACTCCACAGCTAGATATCTTTATTATTCTGTTATTTTAATGCCTTCTTACAGAGAGGAGGAAACGGAGGCTCAGAGAAGCAAAGGACATTATTTATGGTCTCTCAGCTATGTCAGACTTGATGCTAACTAAGCATCATCTGACTTCTTGCCAGGACCTCTTCATAAATCTACTCCCTTAACAGAGTACTCATAAAATTTTTGATGTTATTTCTGACTGTAGAATGGTCACATCCCTTCTTGCTGACAGCAAAATTAGACTTCAAGTATAGAAATACTACTCTAGTCAATAAAAATCAAAAGGTTGATTCTTTCTCCAGACAGGGAAAACTGGGACAAGTGATTGGGAAGTACCCATTGCACCTGTTATGGCTGCGGCTTTTGCTTTGCTGTTATAAAGGTGAGGTGAGTCCTTTTAGTTTTGGTCAGACTTCATGTTATGAATCAGGCCTTGCCTGCTGTGTTCACCCTCTCATCATCATAGGGATATAGTCTTCTTAGGCTACTAGCACCTGCCTATCCCTTCTTTTTTTTTGAGATGGAGTCTCACTCAGTTACCCAGGCTGGAGTGCAGTGGCGCGGTCTCTACCTCTGCTCACTGCAACCTCTGCCTCCTGGGTTCAAGCAATTCTCATGCCTCAACCTCCTGATAGCTGGGACCACAGGTACATGCCACTAGGCCCAGCTAATTTTTATAGTTTTAGTAGAGACATGGTTAAACCATGTTGGCCAGCTTGGTCTCGAACTCTTGACCTCAAGTGATCTGCTGGACTTGGCCTCCCAAAGTTCTGGGATTATAGGCGTGAGCCACTGTACCTGGCCTATCCCATCTTAATTTATCCAGATGGAATAGTTCTTTTGTTTGCTTCACTCCGTACACAGCATGTGTACCACCATGTGTATGTATCCTAAAACCTGAGCAGAAACCTCCATTAAAAATATTAAATATTGCCAGGCGTGGTGGCTCATGCCTGTTATCCCAGAACTATGGGAGGCTGCGGCAGGGATCACGAGTTCAGGAGATCAAGACCATTCTGGCTAACAGGGTGAAACTCCATTAGCCAGGTGTGGTATGTGCCTGTAGTCCTAGCTACTTGGGAGGCTGAGGCGGGAGAATGACTTGAACACGGGAGGCGAGGGTTGCAGTGAGTCTGGGCGACAGAGCAGGACTCCGTCTAAAAAAAAAAAAAAGCAAAAACATTAAATATTTCACCCCTCACTTTTGTCAATACTTTGGTGAACATGAATTCAGTTTGAACCTATGAGTCGGAGAGGAGAGCCAGTTTTCCTACTTCTCTGAGTGATTGTTTCTCTAATGCCCATCATCAGTGTGATAAATAATATTTACTTAAAAGTTGAGCTCTGATTTTGCGTGACAGTTTTTAGAAATTATGTAATTAAGCCTGCAGTCATTACTGATAGTTATTTAATTATTCCCTCTCTCTGAAGCAACTTATGTTTTTTCTTGGAACTTGGAGATAACAAATTAGCATCAAATATATACCCGAGGTTTTGAGAATATGCTTGCTAAGTCCATGATTGAATAAATAGAAGGCTCTGGGAACATAGTTTGTATTTGACAAATAGCCTAGACCTGTTTTCTGCCCTTGGGTTCTCGACATAGTAAGTTGCCTAGAGCCCTGTTTTAAATGTTCTTCCTTTGAAATACCATGGTAGGCACCAACTTGTTGTTATGTTCCTATGCACATAGAAGTATGTGGTAAATTGACATATTTCTCAAGTTCAGATTGTGAGTAAAATGCCCAGTTACACAAGATCTGTGGCCACTTGGCATCAGCTGGGATCAGATGTCCCGAGGCGGCCTTGTGGAGGCCTGTGTTCAGGAGTGGGGAAAAGGGTGAGATGGGAGAAACTGGGCACCACTCTTTGATCTTGTGATCGTAGTGTGTGAGTGATCAAGGAAGAGGTGGAGTAGCCTGAATCATGTGGGTATGGGCTAATCCATGACTAGAGCAAAAAGCCAAAGAGGGAAAGCAAGATTTGATGTAGCACATCAAAGGCTCAACAGGGCAATGTGTACCTGTGAGGAAATCAGAGGGGCACAAGAGCTCCATCTTTTATGTACAGAAAAAACAAAAGGGTGGAGAAGTAGACCTTCGACTGAGGAAGAGCTGTGTGCTGAAAAGTCCCCTCTCACCTCCTGCTGCCACAGCACCTCCTTGCCAGCACCTCTGCAAACCCTCTCTGGACATGTTTTCCTTTTGTTTGTTTGTTTTAGAGACGGAGTCTCGCTCTGTCACCCAGGCTAGAGTGCAAAGGCATGATCTTGGCTCACTGCAGCCTCCACCTCCCGGGTTCAAGTTATTCTTCTGCCTCAGCCGCCTGAATAGCTGGTACTACAGGTGCATGCCACCATGCCCAGCTAATGTTTGTATTTTTAGTAGAGACAGAATTTCACCATGTTGGCCAGGATGGTCTCGATCTCTTGACCTCATGATCTGCTGCCTTGGCCTCCCAAAGTGCTGGGATCACAGGCATGAGCTACCATGCCGGGTCTCTCTGGACACGTTTTAAAGTGATATTGAATAAACTGGCATTACTGAGTTGATATATGATTAATCAAATAGCTTAATATTAATAAACTTGGTTCTATTCCCTGGGTGCTTACTGAATGAAAGATACCTAGCATTTGTCTTGCTGGTGTGTTTTGTTTTTGCTGTATAGTGATTTTGGGTTTTGAGTTATAGGCACTCTCCTTTGATGCTGCACATGGTCAGAAATCAACCCTGCTTCTGGCTTTATCAGTGAGTCTGTTAAGCTTATCAACTCTACCAACTTGCCTTTTCACTGGGTCCCCATAAAGCTCTGCTTATCCTCATCATAACCTGAACATATTATACTAAAGTCATTTGTTTACTTATTTATTTCCTACTCTGGACTGCATTCTTTGAAAGTAGAAATGATATTACTGTATCCTCTAGTTTCAAGCACAGGGCATGGCAATAATTAGTGTTTCATAAATGTTTGTTGACTATAAATTAGATCTAAGTATAAATGAGGAAATCTTAAAAATCTAGGAATTTTATTTAGTTTTGAGTGCTCAAAATTTTTCTCATGGCCGGGTGTGGTGGCTCATGCCTGTAATCCCAGCATTTTGGGAGGCTGTGGCAGGCGGATCACGAGGTCAGGAGTTTGAGACCAACCTGGCCAACATGGTGAAACCCCATCTCTACAAAAAATACAAAAATTAGCTGGGCGTGGTGGCACATGCCTGTAGTCCCAGCTGCTTGGGAGGGCGAGACAGGAAAATCGCTTGAACCTGGGAGGGGGAAGTTGCAGTGAGCTGAGATTGTGCCATTGCACACCAGCCTGTGCAACAGAGTGAGACTTCATCTCAAAAAAATAAATTTTTTTTTTTCTCATATCAGGAATCTCTGCAGCCCAGGAAGTAACATCAGAAGACACTGATATTTTTATGAGTTTGAACTCAAAGAGACTGAGTCCCATAAAATATGTCAGCAGGCCGGGCACGGTGGCTCAAGCCTGTTATCCCAGCACTTTGGGAGGCCGAGGCGGGTAGATCACGAGGTCAAGAGATCGAGACCATCCTGGTCAACATGGTGAAACCCCATCTCTACTAAAAATACAAAAAAACTAGCTGGGCATGGTGGCACGTACCTGTAATCCCAGCTACTCAGGAGGCTGAGGCAGGAGAATTGCCTGAACCCAGGAGGCAGAGGTTGCGGTGAGCCGAGATTGTGCCATTGCACTCCAGCCTGGGTAACAAGAGCGAAACTCCATCTCAAAAAAAAAAAAAAAAATGTCAGCATTTGCAGAAGTACTGCCAACTCTCTCTCTCTCTTAAGACACTGCTATACCTGAAATCTGTAGGAAATTAATACATTCTGAGGGAAATGTGTCCCTGAAGTATCCACTAAAAGTATAGGTTAATGAATATGAAGGATAGCTTCTGCTTGATTCACCTCCCTTGCTGTATCATACAGCTGTATGTTTCTTTTTCTTTTATTT